AAGGATTCAAAGCTATCACGAGAGTACCGTAAAACACATGAAATAATAATAAAGTAAAGTTAATAGAACAGAGGGCGGGGGGGGGGGAAATGGAGGTTTCTCAGTGGTGCTGGGAAAGAATAACTAAAGAACACATGATTTTTAAAAAAAGTGATGTCTTAGGTGGAAAATCTTTATACAAATGAGTCTCCAGCCTTACAGATATGCATCCATTAAACCAGGGGTAGGTAACTTGTAGCCCCAGAATTACTTCCTAATTTTGAAGTTATTCTGATAAAAGCAGCCCGCCCCTTCCCTGACAGCTGAGGGGTGAGGGGAGTAGAGTAGAACAATGGAGAAGGATTGGCTGACCTTTTATTTTTGTTACTATTTATTTGTTGTTGTTTTTTTAAGGTGAACATCACCCTTCAGAACATTGTACCAGGGTGGCTTATAACACATTAAATCAGTGTTGTCCAAACTTGGCCACTTTAAGATGAGTGGACTTCAACTCCCAAAATTCCCCAGCCAGCCATGCTGGCTAGGGGATTCTGGGAGTTTAAGTCCACTCCTCTTTAAGTGGCCAAGTTTGGACAACACTGCATTAAATGTTGTATTCTAGCTTAGCTTTCCACTAGCTTTGCAGCCCCCAAAGCAGTGATCGAAACCACGTAACATAGCCCTGCAGAACAAAATATGTTCCCCACTCCTGCATTAGACCATTTCTAGAGGCCCACTGCTAGTCATACAGGGTTTTTCCCCCATAGGACAGAGAAGACTGCGCAGTTGTTCCAATCCGAAGTATGGATAAAAAAACATGTCATGTCTGTGTCTCTTTTATCGCAATGCAGATATAGCTGCAATTGCACAGGAAATGGATACACGGGTCTGCATTGTGAGATATCAGCTCCCTTCTGCTGGTCACATCCGTGTCATAATAACGCTACCTGTGAAGATACAGCAGAAGGTTACATGTGCCATTGCTGGCCAGGTAAGCTTTCACAAGCAGGCATCTCTGCTGGTTATCTTTTACTGAATGAGTTATTTTTTAAAAAATCATACACACATTTCTATATACATATTAGAAGCTCTTAGATATACAGGGGGATCCCTCTCTTTTTCTTGTTTTTCTTATTTTTTGTGTTTTTGTCTTATTTGTTCTCTTTCTTCTGTTTTCTTAAAGTGAGGAGAAAAACATGCATCTCTGTAACAGTAGCATACATATTGTTAAAGCAAGCAGACATCATTAAAGAGTTCTTCAACTTAAGCAATGTAGAAGCCTGAACTATATTCCAAAAATATGCAGAATACAATAGGCAAATGAAACACAGTCCCATATACTGATTTAGCACACATTATTTATTTTATCACTGCTCGCTGTGAGGAACAAACGGGCAAAGTAGGCCTTGATGTTTCATCTTGGATTGGTGCAAGTCCAACTTAGCCCATTCGGATGATTCTGCAAAATGCTAGCAACAGCATTAAAGCTTAAAGTTTAGCCCTTTAGTATTAAGGCTGATACAGTTGCCTTTAAAAACCAAAACACAAAAAAGTAAAAGCTTGATTTTAAACACCTCCTCCTCCTCCTCTTCTTTCTGGCACCTTCACAGAGTTCCAATGACTATCCCATTAATTTTGTGACCTCAATTGTCTTTTGAGTGAGCTCCTTTTGGATGTATTAATTGGGAAAGGGCACCATTCTGGTTTGAAAAGAATAATATATTTCTTAAGTACATATTAACGAAGGTCTGAAATTATAAAATGATTCTAAATTTAGTAAGAAGACAAGGATGCTGCAGGAAATACCACTAGTCTCATTGGACCTGAGCATACCATTCATTCGGAAGTGATTTGGGAAGCTGCTAAGCAAACAAGGAGGGCTGCTCTTTGAGGTCTTAGGGTTAGCATCAGGATTGTATCCTACCTGCACTGCATCTCTGCCTTCACTTCCTGTAATCAGAAAAAGTTCATATTACGGAAAAGGGAACAGAAATAAATTTATGGAAAGAGTGGTAGATATTGATTACTCTCTAATCAGACTATACTGACTATATTCTATAGAATAGTGTTTCTCATCCTTGGCAACTTTAAGATATGTGGACTTCAACTCCCAGAATTCCCCAGC